CATCCATCCATCTTCTCACTGGCCTACCTATTCTTCCATCCATCTACCACTAACCCACCTATCCCCCATCTACCCACCCACACACCCATCCATCAGTCGACCTATCTTATCTTTCCATTTGTTTATTTACCCATTCTTCACTAAAACTCTTTATGTGGATAGTCCTACAAAGGGGGCAAGAGCAAATATAAAGAGGAGCTATGAGCTTTCATGGGAGGCCTGACCAGTATCTGAGAAGCACTAGGAGACCAGCAAGGCCTCCCCTGGATGATCAGGACTAGAGATGCCCCCTAGATCTCCTAAGTGTCCCACAGCCTTGTGAGTAAGCCACCTCCACCCCCAGACACCATTAAAGAACTGAAGTTCAGAAAGCCTTGGTGACTTGCCAGAGTCACACAAGAAGTCAGTGGCTGAGCTCATGCTGAACGCAAATCTGCTGACTCCAAGTACAGGATTCATTTTCCTTATGTCCACTGGGGAGTGTGGGACAAGAGGCCCACACAGTTCTGATTTCTGTCATTCATCCATTCTGGCCCTCATCCTTTGTGACGCATATGACTACGAACACAGAGAAGTGCACACACATGTGTACAGTTGCATATGTACAAGCACATTCCCTAATGCACACATAATCACTATGGCAGCAGTGACAGGCTGACCAGGCTTGTATAGGTCCCTGTCCTGCCTCAAACTTTCTCTGCCTCCTTTTTTCTGAGGCTCGGCCAACCCTGTTCTTCCAGCCCTAATCTCCAGACACAGCAACTCCTGCACCTTCCCAGACACGCACCACCCCAAGAGGCCTCCCTTGACAGGAATGCTTGTGTTCCTGACCTCAATGCCACCTCAACTTGCTTGACCACATCTGCTCTGTAACCTGTGTCTTTCTAATCATAAGCAAGCACTCGAGCACTGAGCCACACCCCTTGCCTCCATGATCCTTACACATCAGCTCTTCCCCTGAGTACATGCTCATAGCAGCCTACCCAGCCAGGCAGGATCATCCACCTTCTAGACTGAATGTGAATACCAAGAAGCCTCCTGGGGAGGGAGGGGCTGAAGCCCTCATCTGCTCATCTGCCCCTCTTTTCTTCTACAAATAGTGAATCTGGCCTCCTGTTCCACTACTGCTCACTCTCAGGAGAAGGGGAGAACAGAACAAAGACCCTGTCCTCCCACTACAGTCTTGAAGACAAAGCCAGGCCAGGCCCTCCGGGGGCTTCAGCCTGGGACAGGCAGGGGTGGCTAGGGACCTCACAGGGATTTGAGAAGGCAGTAGCCAGGGCTGTGAGGGGATGGTCACTGCTTTAATGACGCCTGTCTTGCCCTGCACAGGTGTGCAGTCCCCGGGGGGCCTCCTGACTCTGACACTGGCCTGTGTCCTGGCACTGGTGGGTGGAATCCTTGCTTATCTCATCAGGTGAGGCTGGTGGGCCTGGCTCAGGCTTTCTGTGTCCGTCTTACGGGGGCCTCCACTGGCAAACTACAGGGGCTTTTCCCATCCTCACTTTCTGATCTCAGGGCCCCCTGCCTCCTTTCCCTCTCTTAGCTTCACCCAAGAAGAGCCAGGAGCCCTGGCTGTCTCCTGAGAGGTCTGTGTGAGGCTTGAGGAAGAAGCCTATGTGCTGGATGAGACTCCGCCTCCGAGCGTCAGGCTCCTGTTTGTACAGTGAGGGGCTAGTCAGGTCCATGCCAAGGATCCCTCACCTTTGCAGACATCTCCCCTCGTGAGCCTGAATTCAGATGCTCCCGGAGCCTCAGCCATATCTGGAAGAGGGCAGCCGTCCATTCTCACCTCTAGCAAGGCCTCAAGGAAACTGGTCTAGGCACCAGTAGGCCAATCAGGTCCTTGATAGTTGCAGACCTGAGCCCAAGGCTAATAGGCTCTGTGTAGACAGTACTTGGTGCCTGCCAGCCCTGAAACTGGTACTGAAGGAGATGTGGGAAGGACTGGGCGGTGGGTGCTGAGTCAGAGGCAGGGCCAAATCGCCTGACTGAGGCCCTACTGTCTCCCACTTCCAGGTTAGGCCTCCAGCAGCTGCAGCTGGTGCGGGGTCCCCATCGGATCCTGCTGACAGCGCAGGATCTCACCTTTCTCCAGCGGACCCCCAGCCGGCGGGTGGGTGGGCAAACCCGGGCAGGGTGGGCAGGTAGGCAGAGGGGCAGGCTGGGTCTGGCCTCTTGACCACCCCAGCATCTGTCCCAGAGGCTGCATGTGGACGGTGGAACTGAGTCAAGAATCGTGGTGGAAGGTGGAAGCCCAGGGTCGGTGATCCAGGGGTCAGCAAGGAGCCTACCAGCCCTCCTGGAGCATACCAATGTCGCCCTTTACCAGGTGAGGGCTGTCATCACCCCACACCAGGCCTGGAAGGCTGTGACCAGTTTGGAAGAAGTCTACCAAAGACACAGTATTTGGCTTCTGGGGTCCCCATCTGTTGGGACTTTCCTGGTTCCCCTAGCACATGGACGGCAGCCCCAGAAAAGGGGAACCAGCACACCTAGCTCCCACTGGCATGGTTCCTGGGCTGACCTTGGGAATCACAGCCTCAGCTACTTAGCTTTGGCTTTGGCCCAGATCCCCTACCTGCTTAAGCAGTGAGATCTCTAGTCCCTAAATCCCAGGGTGAAGGCAGTACCCAGCCACTGGCACCTCCAGGTGGAAGCTGGGCCTCCAGCCAACAGGAAGTCTACGGAGTCAAAGGTCAGACAAGCAAGATTATGGCTGCTGAGAACACAACCATTTTTCAGATGCTGTTACTCTCAAGTTCAAGTACTTACTAATGTGTGGTTCTTTGCCTATGGCTGCCATGGCAACTGAGCTTGGCTAATTGTTTCCATAGGAAGCAGCATAAGGCTCTTGTTGCTTATTTTCCACCTTTTCGCCCGGGCCACCCCACCTTTTCCTTTTCCTACCAAAAGAAGGCTTTAATGACGCACAAAACACAATAGCCCACAGGCTGCAGGTGAGGCTGTGCCCAGGCAACCCGCCAGGGACCAGAGCAGAGGGCTGGGACCACACTGAGGGGGCTGGGTCTCGTCCTCTCCTGCACGTCCCTCACGTCTCTTCTGGAACCCCCAGTCACAGCTTGGGGATCCCAAGTCTGCTTACTGCTCCCATCGACCAGGCTATGCCCAGCTCAGACCACAGAAGAGGGTGCATGTGTGGGGGAGACACTAAGCCCAAGGGGTGGTGGGATTGTCCTGTGATCACCCAGCTGGAGAGCTAAGGCCGGCAACGTTTGTTCCTTTTTGTTGCTGTTGTTTTTGAATGTTCATGTCATATTTGTTTGTTTGCTTGTTTGTTCATTTATTTATTTATTTATACTTTTTTTCACATCCGGACCATGGTTTCCCCCCTCCTCTCCTCCCAGTCTCCCCTCTTTCTCTCCCTCCACCAATCCACTCCTCCTCCTCCTCCTCCTCCTCTGTTTCTCTTCAGAAAAGTTTTTTGGTTTTGTGGGGTTTTGTTTGTTTGTTTGTTTTAGTCAGGGTTTCTCTGTGTAGCCCTGGCAATTCTGGAACACAGACTGTAGACCAGGCTGGCCTTGAACTCACAGAACTCTGCCTGCCTCTGCCTCCCCAGTGCTGGGATTAAAGGTGTACGCCGCCACCAGCTGACTCCAACTCTTGTTTTGCTTCAACAGGGAGACTGGGTGTGGCTGAAGAAGTTTGAAGCAGGCGTGGCTCCTGAGCTGCGGCCAAGCAGCCTCAGCTTCCTGAGGAAGGTAGGACCGTAGACGGAGGGGTGCAGGGGGCCAGGGAGGTCAGGACACCCTCACTGGTCTGCATTGGTCCCTGCTCCCTGGACATGCTTCTGGCCTCAGAGAGTCAATGCTTTCACTGTTGTCACTGCCTAGTGACAGCGTCTCATCAGTTAGCCATCAGCGTGGTCACCATCACACACACACCAGCATCCCTCAAGCCATGTCAACGTCCCAACACAAGCCTCTCCGTAACTGTGTGGCACAGCCCTTCCTCCCCCAGCAATGGACTCTGGGTACCACCAAGGGTCCTCAGCCTAGGTCTGCCTCCCTGTATCCATCTCTGCATCTGTTGTTTACTCATATGCAGGGCAGAGTTCTGGGCTTAGGAGAAGGGGTTCTGTTTCCTGAGGGAGCTTCAATCACCATCATGGACTACACAAGCACCTTCCCCCAAGAATATCACCATCAAAGAGGCACATGGGAGGGAGGGCAGAGCCCAGGAAGACCTCCTGGTGTCCTGCCTCCATGGAATACCTGGCTTCCCTGTAAGGCAGAGCCAATACTACCCAGCCCAGGAGAGTTGTGAGGAGGGCAGGATATGTATAGAACAACCTAGTAAATGGCATGCCTTTAACCCCAGGGGATCTGACTTCTTCCTTATACTCTAAAGGCTGTCTACTGGTCTCTCCAGACTCAGGGAGGGAGAACATGCAGGCATCCCTCCCCAGGAAGTTGAGCTCTGAGCCATCTTTGTGAAAGCCTTGCCAGACAAGGGTTTGATCTGCCCAGGCTGGGCCCTCCTTGGGGAGGTTGCTTTCCATCACTGCAAGCAAGAGCCCTTCCGCTCTCCATCCTCCTGCATCCTGTGGACTGCAGGGGAGGGAGAGGACCAATAGTGTTCAGATCAATGGCATCAGTCAGGCTGAGAAACAGATCCAGACCTGACTCTGTGGAGGTACCTACAGCTCCTCCATGGGTCCGTCCACGATGCTGCCACTCATTGTTCATTCATTCACTCACTCTTCTACCCATCTATCCATTTATCCATCAGTGTGTCTATCTGCCCATCCATCCACCATCCAGTCCCTGAAGGTCTATATTCATCTACCCATCAGTCCATCCATTCAGTTATCCACTCACCTATTGACCCATCTATCTACCTACCCACTTATCCCCTTGTCCATCTGCTCATCCATCCACCTATCAGTTCACACTGTCCACACACCCCATTACTCATCTGTCTATCCCAGGGCCTTGATGAAGGGTCCCCAGGGGCCCCTAAGGTGCCTTTTGCCTCTGCAGATGCGGGAGATGCGGCATGAGAACGTTACAACCTTCCTGGGCCTTTTGGTAGGCCCTGAGTTCAGTGCGATGGTGCTGGAGCACTGTTCCCGCGGCAGCCTGGAGGACCTGCTGCGGAATGAGGCCCTGAGGCTGGACTGGACCTTCAAGGCCTCCCTGCTGTCTGATCTGATAAGAGTGAGAGCCACCCCAGGAGCTAAGAGTTAAGGGGAGGGGTGGGACATGGGACAGGCTCAGATTCCCCACAGCTTTCAAATCTGATAACGCTGGGCTGGAGAGATGGCTCAGCAGTTGAGTGCTGACTGCTCTTCCAGAGGACCCAGGTTCAATTCTAGTATCTACAAGGCAGCTAACAACTGTCTGTAACTCCAAGATCTAAAATCTGACAATGCAAAAAGTGAGTTGAGGCCAGAAGGCCTCTGGGTCCTGTGGACATTCCATGGTCCTTTTCACCCCTCAATGACCCCATATGTCTCCTCCCAGGGTATGCGGTATCTGCACCATCGGCATTTCCCCCACGGGCGCCTCAAGTCCAGGAACTGTGTGGTGGACAGTCGTTTTGTGCTCAAGATCACTGACCATGGTTATAAAGAGTTCCTGGAATCTCATTGTTCTTCCAGGCCGCAGCTAGCCCCAGAAGGTCGGCTTGGCGGCAGGGGCCCCCAGTAGGGTGTGATATATGGGTATGTGTGGAGTAAGGGGAGGGGGAGGTCTCCAGTGCCCCACAGTTTCTATGTTGGGACCTGGAATTGGTGGTTTTTCTGATCTGGAAGAACCTGAGGCCCTTAACCTAGGTCCTCTCAGGGGCAGAGAAGGCACCAGGAGACCCTTTCCTGTGATTGCAGAGCTTCTGTGGACGGCCCCTGAGCTGCTGCGGGGCTCTGGGAAGGCCAGCTTCAAAGGTGATGTCTTCAGCCTGGCCATCATCCTGCAGGAGGTACTCACCCGAGGCCCACCCTACTGCTCCTGGGGACTCTCAGCAGAAGGTACATGTCCCCCTCGGTGAGGGCTCCCTGGACCTCAGACTGCTCCTGCAGTTGCGCCCCACCCCCACCGCACCCCCACCCCACCATGTCTGTCCAGCCCCAGAGATCTGTCCTATAGATTTTTCAGGGGACCTCAGTCAGAAAGGTGCGGCAGAGGCACAGCTGAGCTCTTGATGGATGGTCTTTAAATTCATAGAGGCCTGGCTTTCCCCTTCCTCCACCAAAGTCCTCCCCATTTCAGGCCTGGGTTTAAGGGGTCAGGGAAGGGTGAGGTAACAGACTCCAGGGGCTATTTGGTCTCCTGCCTCACCTCTGCCTGCTGTGGAAAAGAAAGACCACCCAGATGGGCTCCTGTGTTTCCAGGTCAGGCCCTCCAGGTAGAGCATCAACCTTTGGGCGCAGGGATCATGGGCCTTCGGATAGGGCTCAGTCCAAGCCTGCTGCTTCCTGGGATGTGCTTTCTCCAGCCTTGGAAAGTGCAGGATCCAGAGCTGAGCTTTGGGGACTAGGCCTAAAGCTGCTTCCACAACCATTGGCCCCACAGTTTTGAGTAAATCCCTTTTCGGGCTAAGCCTCTGTTTCCTTATCTGTAAAATGGGCACCAGGGGGCCTGCCTCACAAAGTCACTCTGTGTGCAGCTTTGCACTCTGGATCAAGGGTAGGGTAGGGTAGTTGCTCAGTAAAATCTGCCTGGGTGGTTTGGGGATGGGCTAATGGGAGTCTCACATCCTCTCCTGTATCCAACATATTGGAGGATGCCTGTGTGCACAGGGCCCTTTGAGAGTTCCAAGGCACCCACTCTCTGTCGTGCTCCATCTGATGCCCTGGGAGGTGACCGATGAGCCCTTTTCAAAGAGAAGATTTAGGTGATGCTCAAAGAAAGGCAGGGACCTCTCAAGGAGAGGAGTGGGGTTTGGCTGGCGGTCTCCTCATCCAGCACGGCATTCTTAGGGACCAGGTGAGCAGCCTTCGACACAGAAGCCAGCACTGTTGAGAACAGAGATGTGGTGGATGTGAACAGTAGCCCTGGCACAGCAAGGGGACCCAGGGACCAGCCCAGGGCCATTGTTCTTGCTTGCATTGTTTATCCTAGAAGATTCTGAAACCCGGGTCTGGGAGGATGGCTCAGCCGGTAAAGTGCTCGCATGCAAGAGTTTGGATCCCCAGCACCCACATAAAAAGCTGGGTGCGGCGGCACAGCCCTAGGGAGGGAGAGACAGGAAGAGCCCTGGAGGTTGCTGGCCAGACAGTTTAGCCGATGGAGGTCGATTAAGGGAGACACTCAACATCGATCTCTGGCCTCTACATGTGTGCCATCCATGCACATGCACCCCCCAACACCGCCCCCCAACTCTCCCCCCCGCCCCCGTACACAGAATGCTGGAGCCTCCACACTGTCTTCAGTTTTTACTATCTGCTGACTACAGAAACACCCGATGACAGACGCTATTCAGAAATCTGCGATGCTTTGAAATGGATTTACATTTCATTCATCACAATGCAGTCGGCATGCTTTTAAACACAGCTGTGCATGTGTGCGTGCTCCAGATCACTTCCATCTGCACACACTTCTTTGTAAGCTCACGGCCTCCCAGTGCCTGTGGTCTGAGGCCCTTGGAGTCTGAGGCCTGAGTCTGGGACCCTCAGACAGACAGGCCTGAGTGGAAATCAAGCCTACTGTCATGTCTGCTTTTTACTGGCCTGTATTGGTGCCCCCCCTTCACCCTGTGAGCCTCAGCTTACCTGTTTGTAATGCTGGTCATTAATAGCCAGTGTGTGGTAGCACAGACCTGTAACTTCAGCATTCTGGAAGCAGAGACAAGAGGACAGCGAGCTTGAGTAGTCTGAGCTGCACTGTGAGTTTCAGACAAGCCATGGACTGCCCCGTATCAAAACCACGACAATCAAGGCTAGGGATGTAGCTCAGGATGTAGCACTCAGTAGAGTGCTAGCTTCCCATGAACAAGGCCCTGGGTTTGAACCTCAGCATCGTATCACCAGGTATGGGGGCACATGCCTGTAGACTTGGGATGCATGAGGATCAGAAATTTAAGATCATCTTGGGCTATGTAATAAGTTTGATGCCAGCCTGGGGGAGACCCTGTCACAAACAAACAAACAAACAAACAAACAAACAAACACCTACCCAAAACCATAAAGGGACAGTGATCTCTCGCTATCCCCAACAAAGTGGCCAACCTGTGGTGGGAAGTAGGGGACTGTAGAGGAAGAGGCCTCTCCTCACAGGCTCCATGAGGGGAGGGTCCCAGGCCTTCTGGGAGGTTACCCTGCTACGGCCCAACCTGTACAGAACGTACATGGATGACGGAAGTCCCACGTTGATCTGAGGCTCGGACCCTGAGCGAGGAGCCCGGCCTCTCTTCTTCTCAGACTTGATGAACTCTTGGCTTTGCCAGAGACGCTTGTCTGGGGTGGGGTGGGGGACTGAGGTATAGGGCGGTAGAACCAGAGAGCTAGAGCACTGGACTCTGTGGCCTCGATGTGTGGGCCTCACCCGGTGGAGCAGGAATGTCCAGGGTGATGAAGGCTGTATTCTCATCACTCTTGTGAGGAGTGGTGTAGACTCTGGGTGTTGGGACGGATATGGAGAGCTGTGCTGTCAGGTTTCAACCACAAGGGTGGGAATCGCCAGTGACAGAACAACAGCCTTGGGGAGAGCCTGCCAGGTGCCAGCCATGACCTTCCCCACCTTCTCCCTCAGCACCTCTCAAGAGGAGGCCCTCTGACCCCATTTCACAGATGAGGAGACTGAGGCTGAAGGGATTAATTACCGTCTTCTCCGCCAATCCATAGAGAGTGGTAGCAGATTTGGAACTGAAACCCAGCTCTCTTGGCCCAAGTCTGAGACCCTTCCTCTGGCCACAGCTTAAGGCAGATCCAGGAGAATAGCAAGGCTGTGTGCACTCCAGCTGTGCAGGAGACATGGAAAGTCCTGGGAGCATTCCTAGGGCCCAATTCCCCCTTCCCTGCCCTACCACAAGACCCCTCCCATAATCCCCCAGGGCATCTTGACCCAAGGTACCCGTGGGGTTTGCTGCAGAGATCGTCCGGAAGGTGGCATCGCCCCCTCCTCTGTGCCGGCCACTGGTGTCCCCTGACCAGGGCCCCCGTGAGTGCATCCAGCTGATGCAGCAGTGCTGGGAGGAAGCTCCGGATGACCGGCCAAGCTTGGACCAGATCCACACGCAGGTCAGTGCTCCCCAGAGGCGCAGCCACTTCTAAGCGCTCCTGTCCACAGGCCTGGCTTGGCCCAGTGCCGGCCTCATGCCTTTGCAGGGCCCAGGAAGGATGGGTAGTCATGGCACACAGGCCAGCAGCTCCACTCTGAGGAGGGCCGTCGTAGAGAGAGTGCCGTGTTTGCCAGCGCTATCCTGAGTGTCCAGACTTTTCTCAGTCACTCCATCTTCAAGGCAACCCTCTGAAGCACACTGCCACGGTCTTGGCAGAGACGAGTTCCCAAGGGACCTGACCAGCTAACCTGGCTGTGTGTCTGAAGAGCTGCTGGGGAGCCTCACTCGGGACCCAGGCCTCCTAGCACCTGGGCAGAGGCGCCTTTAGTGACTATGGAGACAACCTTGGTTCCCAAGTCAGTGAGGAGGAGATTAGATGGGCTCTGGGGTCCCCCGAGCCTGATCTGGGGCTGCAGTGGGAGGGCTGAGACAAGCCTGCACAAGTCCTCAGGGCTATGTGGGCCTGACAGAGCAGGGTAGCGCTCCTCCAGAGCCAACCCAGCAAACCCAGGGGCACAGCTCTGCATCCTGTCCTGGTCTCATAGTCCCCAGCCACAGCACTGTGAGTTACCAAGGTGAAGTTCAACAGGTCCAAGGGGCAGGTGAGGAGGGACAGAAACGGCAAGGCAGACAGAGACAACATACAGGGCTCCTTGGGACACTGGCGCATACCCCCATGCACACTGTAGCATCATGGGTAGCGCCCACTTCACAGATGACCATCTGGAGCTCAGGGTTAACAAGCTCCAGGGCTCACAATGATGGGGGGAGGGGGTACACGAGTTAGAATGAGCCACAGGTGCCTAAAGCACCAGGCTGCCATCTTCCTGGGGAGGGTAGAAGTCATCCTAGCTAGAAAGCCGGGGGAGGAGGCACTGGCCCTGAGTCAAGGGCGACTGTGAGAAAGGCCCATGGCGGAGAAGGCTGCGTGGACGCGCACCGTGCTTGGCGTGATGAAGGTGGGAATGTGCCACACATCAGGGAGGGCGGGGGCAGAGGGCTCAACCAGCTGTGCCTGCTTGCACCTGCTGTTTCGGGTAACTGACCTCCCCTGTTCTCTTAGCCTCCTGCTGTGAGGGCTGGGAAGAGGTGCCAGTTGTGGCCACAGTGTCCTGATATGAGACCCGAAAGAGACTCTGTCTGCTGGGCAGTGGCGGTAGCTGTGTGTCTTTAGAACAATGGGTTTAGGCCTCCGTTGTCTGCCTGGGCGTTGGTGGATTGTGTGATCTAGGTTTCCATTTTGGTTTCGTTGCTAAGAAGCTTGTCTCTAAATAATGATCAATTTCTACACAGAAACCTCACTCCTGGATTTGACCTTTTTTCCCCTTAATCTTTAGTTTTCTTTGGTCCTAATGCCCTCAGATATTTGGAGAGGTAGAATAAAATGGAATTTTATATATTCTACTTATCCATTTGTCCATCCTTCCATCCATCCGTCTGTCCATTCATCACTTACTCATCACTCATCAGTCCATCCACTCATCATGTCCCCATTCATCCATTCACCCATCCATAATGACTCTATCTATCCATCCATCTATCTGCCTTTGAGAGGAACACAGAGTATCCTGCCTACAAAGTCACTATGAGACCACATGTAATCTAGCTGTATGATTGTCGATGGTAATGCTTGTCTGGACACAAACTCCTCTGCTAAGCTTCTGTTCCTACTTACCTACCCCATCCAGAGGTTCCCCCACATCCCTCTGAGCCCCTGTGTCCTGCTGATTCACATGTCTGCCTCCACTTCAACCCATCTCCCCAGGCAGAGTTCTGTCTGGCTCACTCCCCAGCTGTGGGCAGGAGGCACTGATCCTTATGAGTAAAACCGAGACCTTGTTCTCTCTCTAGTTCAAAAGCATCAACCAAGGCAAGAAGACAAGTGTTGCTGACTCCATGCTGAGGATGCTGGAGAAGTATTCCCAGAACCTGGAGCGCTTGGTCCAGGAGCGGACTGAGGAGCTGGAACTGGAGAGGCGGAAGACAGAAAGGCTGCTCTCACAAATGCTCCCTCCGTGAGTGGCCCGGGGATGCGAGTGTGCTTCTACT